TTTCGATTTTGATGTAAAAGATTGGGATGACAAACTTTCTATTAAAATCAGGTGAGAAAAAATAAAACCAATCTAAATAGTGCAGAGCATGGCAACTGGGGAATTTCCTGAAACATTTTCAAAACAATTCAGTTTGTTCCTGTCACAGGCTTTATCACAGTGCTGCAAAATTCCATGAGGCCCAACCAAAGAAATTAAGTACCACCAATATACTGGAAGATAAAACTGGAAGAAACTACCTGTAAAAAAAATGGAATAAGCCTAAAAAGCAAATGATGAAATGAATTGAACAACTAAGAACATAAAAAGCAGACCAAATAATTTTGGGATTGAAAAAAAATGTATTAAAAAATTCTGTTCATTTGGAACACATTTTATTGCTGTACAAGGATGACGGAAGAAATGAATACAGTTGATTTAGAAGAAGATATCTGCCAAGAAAGAACATAACCATAGCAGAATATATACAATAAAATGACTTTAAAAGCATTCTAATAACTGAGAAAGAAAACAGCAATTTAAAATTTGTCATGTAATCTATTAGATCTGTCCAGAATTGAATATAACAGGACAATACAATGATATTTTTCCCAGTACAAACTTCTATTTTTTTCCAATAGAATGCTGATAAAGACTTTGCTTAAACAGGCATGTACTAGACTTAAATGATATATTAAATGAAGATTTAAAATATAAGAGTCTCTTGCTAATCTATATTTTCAAAAGAGCTGATGGCTACTACTGTAAACCTTTTAATAGATCAGTCTCCCTTATCTTTTTAATCCTTTATTGGACAGTTGCAATTTTGAAGCATATTAATTCACAAGAAGTCATTTACTAATTTGCCAAAGATTTGCATGAATTGACCACAGCATTCTCTGTCACTTCTCGTAGCCTTCCTTTCTACTATTACTGCTTGCTTCTAACTGTTTTCCACATAACTGAGCAAACTTCCCAACAAAACCAATAGTTGCAATTATGTATCCCTGTGATGGCAAACCTATGGCATGCGTGTGACAGGTGGCACATGGAGCCATTTCTTGGGCACGTGAGGCGTTGCCCTGTCAGCTCCAGGGTAGCTGATTTCGGCTTTCATTTTTTGGTGAAAAACAACACAATACACAAGAGACTCCTTAGTGCTCTGGTCATCTTCGTGTTGCCTCAGGAAGGAAAGGAATGGGGAGCAGCAGCAGCAGTCGCTGGATGCAGGGACTCTTACAGAAGTTACTGCTACATGTTCCTCAGACAAGGACTATATGAACTAAACTGTATTTTATCCCCATCTCTTGTTTCAATATCATTTATGTTAAAGCTATTCAAAATATAATAGAAAATATTAAAGAAGTAACAATGGTAACCCTAATGCACTATTTTATTATTGCTCTGAACTAGCTGCTAGACGATATTGAATTAACTTGAGCAAAATACCTAGGTTTATCAAATTTTGGACAATTTACCAAAAGAAACTAAGTTTAACCATTATAGCCCCAAATCTTTATCAAATATATACCATCCCCGATTTACCAGTTTTCCATAAAGAACCAAGTTCTAGATATTTAACTGGTATAGAAAACCCGCTAAAACTTGAGTTGATACAGCTGTCATACAGATCCAAACAAAATGGCTACCACTTGGATTACTTTGCTCATCTTATTGTTACCATATAACAATATCAAGGATGATTTTACCTTTGGCACTTTAGATGGTGCCAAACTTCAACAGCATGTCCACTGGTAAAGAATGGTGGGAGTTATAATTCAATAATACATTAATGACCACAAATTTTAAACCCAGGCTTTTCATCAATATGCTAATCTTGTCAACTGTGTAAGACTCTTTGACATATAAGATGGAAAAATGAAAAGAAATAACTTTTAGAATTTTGCATTGCATTCTACAATTGTTACATACATTGTTGTATGAGAATAATTTATTCAAATAAGATCAGAATCCAAGTGATTTTAGCTAACCATGAAAGAGCTAAGTAGTGTTGGATCTGATTAGAACCTAGAAGGGTCCCTTCTAAAATTCCTGGAACTTTACATCAATCACAAATCACTTCATGATGCAGCCAAGAAAATTATTTGGGCATGTCCAAATTCATATATTTCTAAATATGAAGAAACTAACTATCCTCTCTTTAGTCATAATGGCACTTGTGAGTATCTATTTTCCCCGTCACTAATAACACTCAGATTTTCCAGCTCATAAAAGTAGTTTCTCAGGAAATGACAATGATTTTCAAAGGGGAAAAATTAAGAAGGGTTGATTTACAAGTGTGATTTATTTTGCAATTATAAACATTCAGTTCAAATTATCTCGTTTTATTTTATTTGAACATATTAGATCAGAAATAGCTGGCAGAGCAGGGCTGTCAAACTCACAGCCTGCGGGCTGGATGCTTTAGACACTGGCCATGCCCACTCCCAGTTTAGCGAAGGGGGAAAAGTCATGCTTCATCATGTGATAATGCAGTGACAATGCGAGTTTGGCACCCCTGTGGTAGGACATATTGTAACATACAGCAGATTCAGTGGTGGGTTTCAAAAAATTTTGGAACTCTTCTGTAGGTGTGACCTGCTTTCCAGGTCCACTGGTGGAACTTCTTCTAACCTGTTCGGTAGATTTGACGAACCAGTTCTACCGAATAGGTGCGAACTGGTAGGAACCCACCTCTGAGCAGATTCCAAGAAAAGATTTAATCCTGTATGTCCTAAGTGATATTACATTTCCCCAATATTGTACCTAGCGAAAATAAATTTTCATATATTAATCACCTAAAGCATTTTTCATTGCCTTGTGTTAAAACTGAATGCACACATGAATTTTTTAAGTGCACCATATTTACTATTCCACAATCTAATGTCTTCCAGATTATTAGGACTACATATCATAACAACTCATTCAGCATATCATGTGGATTATGGGAGTTGCAGTTCAACTTATTATAAAGCATTGGATTGGTAGGCTTTGAAGTCTTAATGTAACCAATTTAAAACAAACTTTTTTTACAATGGGTTTTCTTTAGATATTTATAAATAACTTTTTAATGCATTAAACTCGAAATGAATCTTTCTTCGGCAAATATTGAAGGAGCTGGGCATAAATGGCATTCTAAAAATGTATCAATTTGTGGAGAAAGAATTGGGTGATCGATTTTTCTGAATTTCTCTACAGGACAAGGAATTCTCCAACAATTTCCAATTGCAGGACTCCCAGGGGTTAATGCAGTCTTCTATCTTCTATCAATTTTCCTTGAGATTTAATTAAATCATGGGAAGTTAGAGAAGTCAAGGAAGAAATGATTGTACCATGAAAGACAAGAACCTACAAGCACTACCCCATCATTAAGTTTGAATAATGCTCTATAAAGATTCACCAAGGCTATCTTCTTCTTTGGAAAGTTTTCTATTTTTCCACAATTAAATTGAATATGCATTGATAAGAAACATATTACAGGAATATTGTTACTATTGATTAATTTAATATGGATATGCAGGCCAAAAAATTCTGGGTAGTTTATAATATTACATTATGCAATTAAAAACTATGAGAGTTCTTTGAAAATCCCAAAACATTTGCAAAGGCTGTGTGTGTGTGTGTGTGTGTGCACGCACGCGTATGTAGAATCTTACAGGAAAATGTACCTTGTTTTTTTTTTATGAAGTACATCCACCTCATTTTATTCATTAATAAATGCATTCATCTTTAAGAAACCAATATGCTAGCTGTTTCTGCTAGAAAGCTATTTCTCTGGCCATCATCTAAAGCTTCCTGCACTGAGGGACACACACACACACACATTTAGCAATAAAGTTTTATTTACTTGATTAATGTTTTCCAACCAATCAATTCAATTTAATTCATTTGAAAGACCTAGCTTACATAGTATTGTTTAGATTAAAATGTTTATTTTACCTATTTCCTGCACAGAATATTATAGGCCATAATGAATTATTATGACATATAGCTTTATTTGCATAGCTGAAAGATATAGTTGAATATTACTTTTCTTTCAAGTGGGAACTACCTGACTACTCATTTAACATCTGTTATTTGCCCTGGGCTGCCTAGCAAACTCATAATCAGTATATTATAGTATGGTATTTGGCTTTAAAAAACTTAATAAGCCATAAGCCATGGATAAGCAAATGCTACCACAGTCAATAACCAATCTGATTTACACAAAACAAACATACAAGAAACTAAAACTGTAACAAGAAGCCGACCAGCTGAAAATGCCCTTTTCATATTTGTAACTCACTTTTGTTTCCCAAAAACTCTGAATGGTGGATGTTGCTCTTGCTCACCCCACCCCACCCCTCCCTGGCCCTTGTGATCCTCACATAAACAGAGTTTGGGTGAGAGTTGCTAACTAGTTTAGCCCCCCCAGGGAAATTCGTGGCAAGGTAGCACTTAGGATTCATGCGACTGCAAAGAAATCAGTTCGTTTCTACCGTCCAAGCTAAAACATTATTATTTATCATTTCAAGCAGAAGAAAAATTGTGCTCTTTATGCTATAGATCGGCATCCACTGCACGATCCATAAAAATATATCAAATTGGAACGAGAAAATAAACTACTAAATGTGTCGTGCATTATGCCATTCTGGATAATAGTTTTTAAAATGAGCTCTACAAAACAAAGGAAAAAGGACTCCCACGCTCGCCTGGATGAGAATTTCAAATTTGTGAGCACCCACCAACTCTACCGTAGTATTTTCCTGCTAAATGTTTATAACTTCACAAACTCTTCAAGAAAAACCCGAGAGCAAGGCTTAATTAACACATACATCTTTACAGTAGAAACTACGGTGGGATAATATGATTACACACATGCTCGAGAAAAGACCAGAGCTGAGACCTAAGTTTCCCAAAAGCCAAACTCAGACTTGGGCACCCATCCCGTGACAGACCTACGCCACATTCTTCTTCGTCTACTACTATCTTAGCTATTTTTCATTTAACATTTGAAACGTGCAATTTAAACAAAACAATACCTTTCTCGTCCCCCAAATCTGCAGAGGTCAATTATCCTGAAGCATCACTTTAGAAACTTGCAAGTGATTCAGGATTCTTGATAATCCTGCACAAGCTTCCTAAGCATATACTCGATTACCTTCCCAGTTAGAAGCAACACCTCGTCTTGTGGCAGCAGCGCCTTCTGGAAAACTGAGTCCTACAAACGTTTCCGAGCGCCCAATGAGCCAGGGGTTTCGGAGAGCTTGAACTACACTACCCATAAACCCATTCTCTTCACCTGAGCTTCCACATGAAACCAGGAGAACTGGTTTGATTACTAGAGTTTCACCTTGGGCCGGAAAGAGAGACGAGGAGAGAATAGTTCAGTTTACATTTTGTTTTGTGTGGAGTTTGTTTAGTTTAGCCAGGCTTTATCTCAATGAGTATTTAACTATGTATGTATTCTTGCTCTAGTCTATCGCCTGTCATTTTTCTCAACATTAACAATTTGTAGGTTATAAAAAAGCCAAGGAAGGTGTAAATTAACATCTGGCATTACAGAAACTAGGTTTCAGAAATGTATGAAATATAAGATCTTATTTTTCAAATTACCTGAGAAACTTTGAACTGCCAGCAAGCAGGCAAATTGGGATAGACCAACAGTCGTAGAAGATAACATTAGAAGAGGAGAAAAGACCTTGTCAATCTCACTGATTTATTGGAGCTGGTGGGAAGTAATGCAGGCCCCAGGAATATTGTTGTGTTTGCATCATCCCCTTATTATTTTTAATTAAATTGTAGTTTATCAGGATTTCCCCAGGTAGTTGTAGTCTAAATCCACATATTTCTAGGCAGAGCAACATTACAGTTCTTGAAAGACTGTATGCACATGAATCTTTGTAGGCCCCCTGTTGTATAATAATTCAGATATACATTGTTATAAGGTTATTCCTTGGACCAATGTATCATTGCAATCAGATACATAATAAGGAATATCATCTTATATTTTATATCCTGCCTTTTACTTTCAATAACTCAAAATAGCATACATGGTATTTTGTTTTGCTATATATCAGATATATAAAACCTAATGTTCTCTATGAAGGCTCATACAAGTGGAGGATCTGGTTATTAGTGGGATTACTAAGAAAAGTATGACACCACAGGAGTTGACACATATATAAATGCAATTAGAATCATAATCTTCCATGACAAAAAAAAATAAGCTTCCATTCTTCGGAAGTATAGAGAATGGGTATCTACCTTCTGAAGCTTTATTTAATGGACCATGCTTACAATTATTTTGAAAATACCTTTTCCACAGTCACTGTTCTGGTTTGTTGCTAAGGTGTTTGTCCAGAATTAGGGTATGCAAGTGTGTTGAGCTTTACTCCATTGTCTCCCATTTTTTTAGCCTTAAAAATTGGTGGGAAAACACACCACTTTTCCAATCACAACACTGTTGAAAATTTACAAATAATTTTGGCTCATAGATAAGGTGACCAGATTTTCAGATTGGTAAAGAGGGACACCTTTGACCCAGGGGGGGAGGGGTGCTTGATTAAAAATTTTATACGGAGCAACAAAAATTTTCATACAATGCAAAAATAGTATT